TAAAGCTGTTATTTCCTGTAAGTAGGTGGTGAGGTTATCCTTATCCCTATTCCTGAGTCCTCTGGCTAGTAATACTATTTGTACCAGCAAGCTAACTGCCATTATGGCATATAGGCCGGTAATTGGCAAATTAGCATCCTCCTCAACAGTGAATTCACATAATAAGCAAAAATATTACCAGTTTTAGCAAATGATAAATATTCTGCCATAATTTTACCTGATTTCTACTCCAGATGCAGTAAATATCTTTGACCAGTGGGTGGTACAGGTGTTCAGTGAGTCCACGGCACTTGGCGGCAGTCGGTCAGCGGTGGAGAGAGGTCACAAAAGTGGCTGCGCTTATCTTAGAGAGTATACGGTCTTGCGGCTGCAACCACTGAAACAGATGTGGCTTTACCGCAGCAGCGGCCAGGGGAAGCCTCTGCTGAAAGCCAAGGCCTACCTTGACTCTAGGCAGCTAGAAACTGTCTCTGAGCTGGGTGGATTGTTCTGAGCAGCTTGACTGCAGCGGGTCAGCTGCTAGCCGGAATGCCTGTGGAGAGAGGGCGCTTTCCGGGCCTAGGCCGCGGCCCAATGGAACCCGCAGCCTGTCCCAAATGGGGTGTAGGTTTCCAACATCCCGCTTCTGACAACCAGATATAGTGGGAAATTACCAATATGGAGTCAGGATTTAATAGGGAAAAGCTTTCTTTACATAGTGCCCTAGCCAGCCGGCGTGGCAGCAGTTTGTACAGCAAGTACCAAAGAGAAACCGAAAGTGAAAACGCAGTCACACTACGTCATTCTGACCACGCCCTCACAAGCCTGGTCAGGCACACCTGTAGCCAGCCCCTAAGAAGGCGTGGCTACAGCTTCCCCTACAGGGGACAGCATATTTTATTAACACCCGTGTACTGAAGGGACAGTGATAGGTCCTGCCCAACTTTTCGACCTCTCCATTAATGTTTCAGAGAACTTAATTGCATGCACATATTCTAGTATATCCAGATGGACACCCTAGGGTGTAATGAGTAGATATAGCCACTTTAGTGACATTCACATTTAACTTCTGCATTGACCCTTTAAAAACCTAGAGCAGGTTGCAATTCTACCAATGGACTGTCACCCTATTCTACTACAGAAGGGTATTTACCAAGATATCTGTGAACCAACGGTTAAATGTGTAGGTGTTAAGGTCCCAATGCGTGGGCCTGAATCCCAGCTTTGACCCCTGCCCACCCTTTCGATCAATTAACTTCGTGCTTCTCATGCATAAACCAAGAACAACTACATAATTCAGCTTAGACAGTGATCCTGGAGACAAAGTGAATTACAATCTAAAGTGCCTAGCTGGGGTATCACCAGCAATTCACATTGACGTTGAGATACATCTTTTCAGATATTTGTTGATTCATTTATTTCCTCTTCTGTGAAATTTCAGCTGCTAGATGGAGGTTTCTATATGATTGTCAGGCCTTCTTTTTTATTTTTGAAACTTTTATTTGTGTGTGGGTGTTTGGCCTGCATGTGTGCCTGTGCACCAAATGTGTGCTTGGTGCCCTGGAAGCCAGAAGAGGGCGTCAGATCCCCTGGAACTAGAGCTACAGATGGCTGGGAGCTGCCATACTGGGAAATGAACCCAGGTTCTCTGGGAGAACAGTCAGTGCTCTGAACCGCTGGGCCATCTCTCCAGTTGAGTGTTAGGCATTCTTAATGCACTAAGAATATTCATATTTGGTGTCGGAGAGGAGGAAGGAGATGGTCACCGTCTCCCCCATTCCCGTGTCTACCTATTTGCTTTAAGTGCCATCTGTTTCATCAAAGGGAAAGGACCTGGCCGATATGGGAGGGCAAGGGAGCATGGGTGGTGTGGAGTGTGTTGCTAATGAGGCACCCTCACTGCAGGAAACAACTTCAGGGAGGAAGCTGCTGCAGTTTTATGCCAAGCTCTGTCGGTAAGGAGCATGTGAGAATGTCCCTTGGGGATTCTGGGTGACCTGGGTGACATTCTGGATCCCTTGGGAATTCTGGGTGACACTCTGGGCAAAGAAAGCCATTTGCTTGTTTTGGGGAAGTAATGTGTGTTTGTTCCCTGCAAAAACTTCAGCAAGTTATAGAACTTTCTGGGTAGCAATAATTCTCCAAGAAACCATTAACAGCTAAATTTTTGTTTTGTTTTATTTTGTTTTTTTGTTTTTGTTTTTGTTTTTTTGTTTGTTTGTTTTCGAGACAAGATTTCTCTGTGTAGCTTTGGAGCCTATCCTGGCACTCGCTCTGGAGACCAGGCTGGCCTCGAACTCACAGAGATCCTCCTGCCTCTGCCTCCCGAGTGCTGGGATTTTTTTTTTAAAGTATAGGACATCATCTGCTTACAAACACTAGCCCACCCAGTCTCAGGTACCTAGGAGCCCTCTATCATTCTGCCTCAAGGTTAACTGAAAAATATTCCATCAAAAGACAAAAATAACCTCTTGTTTGGGTATGACAGCCTACGTTTGTAATCCCAGAACTCAGGAGGCCGAGGGAGAAGGTTGCAGAGCTCATCCTGTACTAACTATGTAGTGATATCCTGTCTCAAGATAAATGAGTGGAAGAAAATTAACCTCTCTATAATTTGTTCCTTTAGTCCAATTACCGAATTAGGTCACTGAACCTCAGCCACAACCATTTCAATGATGTAGGAGGGGAGCACCTGGGACAGATGCTCGGTATGTCCCCACGGAGGGAAGGGGGGCCTGGGAAGGGGGGTTGAAGAGGAGACCACTCGAGCTCTCCCTTTTTGTGTACGGGGCTTTGCCTGCATGTATGTACATGCACCATGGGTGTGTCTGATGCCTGTGGAGGCCAGATGGGGCATTGGCACCGCATCCCTGGAGCTGGAGTTACAGACAGTTGTGAACCAACAATATGGCCACTAGGAATTGAGCCCAGGTCCTCTATAAGAGCATCCAGTACTCTTAACCACTGAGCCATCTCTCCATCCCTTTCCCTGTCTTATTAACTTAGCCTTGAATGTTTCCTTTGTGAGGTTTCCTCTTTTGATTTAGTTTTTGCTGTGTTTTTGTTCTTCAGTTTATTGTTTGGGTTTTTGTTTGTTTGGTTTTTTTTGTTTTTTGAAACAGTATCTCACTGTTACTGAATCCCAGAGCTGGCCTTGAACTTGAGGTCCTTCTGCTTCCGTCTCCCAAGTGTTTGGATCATAGGTCTGTGTCCTGAGTGTTCCCATTACAAAAGTGGTGTAAGTCATGCTCAGAATAATACAGCAAATTCAACATCTGGATGTGAGAAACAAAACTTGCTGGTGATTAGATCATGTAGAGAAGCTGCTTGCATGAGGGCTGGAGAGACGGCTCAGCAGTTAAGAGCACTTGCTTCTCTTGCAGAGGCCCCAAGTTGGATTCCCAGCACCCACATGGTGATTAACAACTATATATAACTCTACTTCTGAGGGATCCTATGCCTTCTTCTGAACTCCATAGGCACCAAGCATGCATGTGGTACACATAGATACATGCGGGCAAAACATTCACACATAAACAAAACTGAATAAGTGTAATAAAAAATTTTTAAATTACATTCATAAAAAAAAACTAAATCTCTAAAAAAAAAAGCAACTGGCTGGTAACATAAACTGCACCTAAACCAATTCACACCTTTTTAGAAAAATGTATTTAAAACATATGCATGATAAGATAACAAAGATGATCTTTTGGGAATTTTTTTTTTATTTTGATTTTTGAGGCAGGGTCTCTCTATGTAGCCTTGGCTGTTCTGAAACTGGCTATGTAGATCGGGCTGACCTTGAACTCAAAAAGGAATGCCTATCTCTGCTTCCCAAATATTGGAAGCTGTGTCACCACACGCAGCTCTGTTGTTTTAATTTGTAGTATTTGTTTGTTTGTTTGTTTGTTGAGACAAGGTTTCATATAGCTGAGGCTGGCTTTGAACTCCTGGTCTTTCTGCATCCACCTTTGAAATTCAGGGATCAAAGGCATACATTATCACGACTGGCAACCAAAAGCAACTTTAAAAGACAAGCAAGCAACAAGGGAGTTAACACCCACAGCCCTTGTGTAAATACAAAGATTGGATCCACCAACCACTGTAGGCCGGGTTCTTGTGATTGGTTCTTTTTTAACTCTTTGTTCTTTGGGGGGGGCACCGCCCAGCTCCCAAATAAATACTTATGAATGTCCGGCCTTAGTTTGGCTTGCTTCTAGCCAGCTTTTCTTAAATCATCCCCTCTTCCTTTTGTCTCTGGGTTTTTGTGTTTCTCTATTCTATATGCCTTTCTTTCTTTTTTTCTTACTCCATGGCTGGTTGTCATCTGGGTGGCTAGCCCTTGGCATTCTCCTGTCCCCTTTTTCTCCCTCTTCCATCTTTTCTTTCTCTCAAGCCTAGATTTCTCTTCCTATTTATTCTCTCTGCCAACCCTGCCTATCCCTCTCCTGCCTAACTATTGGCCATTCAGGTCTTTACTAATATCTATCAGGTGTTTAAGGAAGGCAAAGGAACACAGCTTCACAGAGTTAAACAGATGCAACATAAAAGAATGCAACACACCTTTGCATCATTAAACGAATATCCCACAGCACAAAAGAATGTAACACATCTTTAATATTCCACAACAGGTATTCTAGAGGCTGAATCAAGAGGAGCCTCAAGAGGTTAAGGCTTGTTCTACCCAGTGAGTTCCAAGCCAGCTTGGAGGTTACAGACCCTGTCAAGAAGGGTTCTGACTTTTGTAGCTCTCTAGGCATGGTGGTATTGGCCTATATAGTCCCACCTGCTTGGGGGACTGAGATCAGACAACTGTGAATCGAGGCTGGAGAGCAGATCTGGAGGCTAAGAACACTTGCTCTTGCAGAGAATCTAAACTCAACTGCCTGCACCCACGTGTTGGCTCACAACCATTCATGTGTGAGCTGGGCATGATGGTGCATGTGTGTAATCCCAGCACTCAGGAGGCAGAGGCAAGAAGAGCACCACATTACATAACCAGTTTTAGGCCAGCAATGGCTATATACTGAGACCCTGCCTGAACCATAAATAAATTTTAAAAGTGTGTTTGCTGTACAAACCTCAACTTGTGACAGTACCTTCATCTTTGGATAATTGTGTCCTCAAGTCTCAGTCTCTCTGTCCCCCCACCCTCCAGAGTCTTATATAATCCAAGCTGGCCTAAAAGTTGCCATATATCTGAAGATGACCTCAAATTTCTGATTTTCCTGACTCTTATCTTCTAACTGCTAAGATGACAGGCATACACCACCATGCCCAGTTTATGTGGTTCTGGGGATGGAACCAAAGGCCTCACACATGCTAGACAAGCCCTCTTCCAATTGTGTCACACCCCTCAGGGTCCCAGATGGACACTTAAAGATATACGTCACTGTATTTGTGGCATCAGGGTAAACATCTGTAATGAAGCCCTTCCACATCCTGGGTTGCTTTCTTAGGTGGTGTCTCAGAGTGTACACTCTTCATGGGAGAACATCTGTGGCCTCATGTTTACCAGCTAGGTCATGCCACTTGACCTCTTTAACAGAAGAGTGGAACTGTTTTAAGTCATCTTTCCCAGAATTAAGGGTCATCTTTCAATCTTGTGTCTCAGTAACCTGGCCAGGCACGGTGGCACACAACTTTAATCCCAGCACTTGGGAGGCATAGATGGATCTCTGTGAATTCCAGGTCAACCAGGGCTACATAGTGAGACTCTGTCTTTAAATTTAAAAAAAAAAAGGGGGGGTGACTAGAGAGATGGACTCAGTGTTTAAGAGCACTTATTGCTCTTCCAGAGGACCTGGGTTCAATTCCCAGCATCTACATGGGAGCAAAAAATTATCACCTGAGTGTTCTAGCTTGCATACCCAAGCCTAGTGCTGTGGGTCTCAGGCTGGGTCTTGGGAGATGCTGAGCTGAGTCTCTGTCCCTTCTAGCCCTCAATGTAGGGCTCCAGTCGCTGAACCTAAGCTGGAATCACTTCCACATTCGGGCAGCTGTGGCCCTGTGTAACGGTCTCCGGGTAAGTCACACTCTAACAGGTGAGTTGAACTGCTTCCTCGAAGTCACCATGGATTTGGGTGTACAGAGCTCTCACCAAGTGTCTTTGGAGTTGATGGGTCTCCTTCCATGATTCCAGGATGTGCACTTCTGTTTTATAAATCCTCCCTACTGAGCCTGAGTACCAACTTTAGGGATGCTTTCAGAGGGTGGTTTAGCTAAAGAGCAGAGAGATGAGATCCCCAAAGGAATGAATCTCAAGAGGACTTGAGAAAGGGCCCCGTCTGGAGGGAACAGGAATAATTGTGTAAATCTGTCTCTACAGAAAACCACTGAGCTCTGGAGGGATGGAGAGGGGAAGGGGAGAGTGAGGGTTAGGCTGGGATGGGATGGGTTAAAAGTTGGGGGGGGTGATGGTAAGGGTGGAGTGCGTTAGGGGTAAAGATAAGACTTGGGGTTTAGATCAGTTAGGATGAGGGTGAGGGCGAGGGTTGGGGTTGGGCTGACAGTCAAGGCATTTTCCTGGGTAAGTCTCACCCCACCTTGATGCTAGTGCTGTTCCCCTCCCCTGGAGTCTAACGTGACCCTGAAGAAATTGGATGTCTCCATGAATGGCTTTGGGAATGAAGGAGCTCTGGCCCTGGGGGATGTCCTCAAACTCAACAGCTGTCTGGTCTACATAGATGTCAGTAGAAATGGCATCACCAATGAGGGAGCCTCGAGAATCAGCAGGGGACTAGAATACAATGAGAGCCTCCAAGTGCTGAAGGTAGACTCACTGAGCTGGCGCCTTCGTATGTACATCTGCGTTTACATACAATGTGTGTCTGCCTATGTGTCCATGAATGTATGCCCATGAGTGTGCGTGTGTATACACATATATATGTATGTATGTATGTAATCCATCTGTCTGTGTTGTAAGGAAGTAGGGTAATAGAACTGGACTAATGTTGGAAAGAATCATCTCTCTCTCACACACACACACACACACACACACACACACACTGCTTCCATATGCATGTGTTTGATGGCCTTGCTATAGACCTAGAGCTGCCTCAGCTCTCTGGTGATAAGTGTGCTTCTACACAGGTCTTCCCTCATGCCATCTGTGTGTCTCTGGGGATTTTCTTCACACTAAGGCCATACATAATATGTTCTGGGGATACTATTCCTAGATCCCAGTGGTTTCTTGCATTCCAGTGCAGTCCTCTGATCCCCATGAGCCATTGCAGCCTCAGCTCACCCATGCTGTCCCTGGCTCTTGGTTCCTCTTCTTGTCCTTAGCACTGGCTGTGCCCATGCCTGCTTTCATGTCTGCTCTGCTGCAGAGCATGGCACACAAAGGCCCATGACAGACTGTGACCTCCTGAATTAGGGGTCTGCTGCCAGCACTCAGATTCCGATCTATGCTCTCACTTGAATGTGAAATCTTCCTAAGGACAAGGTTGTTCAGTTTGGCCATGATCATACCCCTGTTACTCCATGGTACTGAACACACAGTGAATCTGTAGTAAGCAAATGGATAGATGAAGTAATATCCCATTGTAAATTAGTTTACTTGTGGAGAGTAATTATGACACAAGCCATTGGATAGTTTGAAAACAGATGCAAGAGGATGTCTGTTCCAAGATCCTCTCTCTGGGCTCTTTCAAGTCACACCCTGAACCTGATGATGCAATAATTCATCAGTCATTGTCCATGTGGCCAGGTATCTCTGCCAGCTCTACCTATCAGATGGGAAAACAGAGGCTAAGTGACTCATTCAGACCACATAACTGTGAAGAGAGTGGCCACTTGTATCTGGCTTTCTATAGCTGTTTTAACTTCCTCAAGAGGATGATGGAGGCATAGCAGGTGTTGGGATCCTTATTGATGGAGAAGGAGTGGGTGTGAGAAAACAGGATGAGCCTGCTGTCTGAGGTGCTGTTAAGGGACAAGAAGCCAGATTCTGGCAGAAGAAGTACAATAATGGCCAATAGAACTAGACTGGACATCTAGGAGGAGAACTGGAAATTCCAGGCGGGGTGGATTGGAACCACTCAACTCAGAGAGGTGGCCCAGGCTGTGAGTGACTTAGCCTGAAGGTCCAGTGGAACCCAGGATTGCTGTAAGAACCTGAACCTGTCTAAAGGTTCCATTGAATAAGATGTCAAGCTGGTAAGGTTGCTCAGTGGGTAAAGGCACTAGCTGCCCAGAATCATATGTTGGAAGGGAAAAAAGAAAAAGACTCCTGTAAATTGTCCTCTGACCTCCTTGTACACACCATGGCACACATTCACACACACACACACACACACACACACACACACACACACCAAAATCATTTTTTAATGTTTAAATAAAAGAAAAAAAGTAGAAAAGGGAATTCCTGAAGGAAGTATGTGCTGTTTTCCACACTCCCCAATCTTGGGAAACTAAGAAATCTCCCTGGGAAATGAGTTCCACAAAATTCAGGTGCCAAGATGCACAAGCACCAACTTTTTCTCACCAGAAAACATCAGAGACTGGGAAACTGGCACAGTATATGCTCAATAAAACCTGTGGCCTCCCTCATAATATAATCACCCAAAGTGGCCTTTGATAGCAACAGCCGCCATTCTTACACTGTGTGCTCTGCACTGGGCACCTTTTGGATGCTTTGGCTGGATTATTAAGTTGGGACTCTTGGGACAGATTCTCTATGGTGACAAGTGCCAAGAGATCAAGGAGTCAAACCCAAGGCCAGCTGCCTACTTGCTCCCTCTTCCTAATCCCCATCCATGCTTCAGTCGCTTTCATCACCCTTGCAACAACAACCTAAGCCCACAAGGTCCGCCATGCCATGACCTTTCCTGGCTCTGTTGCCTTCTCTTTGTCCAACTCCACCCCGCACACGGTTCCCTCCAGCACACCTTCACCCTTGCCTGCTCTTTTCTTCTTCTGAAAATCTTTTCCCCACTCTGCTACTGCTCCCCTTCATGTTTGATTAATCCTATCACGGCTTTACTCAAGGGTCCCCTACCCATGATGGACCCTCCTTTCTTTGCTCCTACAGTATGTACATGTCCCTCTGTCTCTGCCGTCACCACGTATCTGATGCCATTTACTTATCTACCTGTCTCCTCTGACTAGAGTAGTGTTATCTGAAGACAGAGCCCTTGTTATGTCTGCCTGAGCTTAGCTCACTGGCTAATACACAGCAGGCCTTAGCAAATATTTGTTGGAGGATGAATGTGTTGGGTGGGTGGAGGGTGATATGGATTGATGAGAAGGCTGGTGGATGGGTGGGTAGTAAGACTGGATGGATGGATGGATGGATGGATGGATGGATGGATGGATGGATGGATGGATGGAGACACTGATGAGTGGGTAGGTAGATGAATGGATGGATGGTGAGATAGATTACAGAATGTATTCATAGATGGATAGAAAGTAAGGTGAATTGATGAGTGTGGTGACAGATGAGCAAAGGGACAGACTTAGGGGTTGTGGATAAGTAGGTTTGTGAATACATAAATGGGTGCTGAGTAACGTGTGGGAAGATGGAAGAATGTATGGTTGAACAAGCGGATAGTAATAGATGGAGAAGTCTAGAGGAACACAGAGGTTGTGACTCGATGGGGAAAGTGAAGTTGCACTCTAACACAGCCTCTCCTGCCCCCATCTCAGCCTCCTCCTGCTGTGCTCTTCTCCTACAGATTTTCCTGAACCCTATGAGTATGGAGGGGGCAGTTTTTCTTATCATGGCCATCAAGAGGAACACCAAATCTAGGATGGAAGAGCTTGACATCTCTGTAAGTGATCAAATACCAGTCATTTGCTCCTGGCACAAGCCAGTAACCATTCTGTCACCAGTGCCACCAGATATGTCCCTCCCAGGCTCTCACACACAAGAGGCAAGGGGCTAAGTGATGGCAGTAGCCCTTAGTCAATATCACCACCATATGAAATAATTTACTCAATCCTGGGAACCCAGGATATGAGCACCTAGGAGTATTATTGAGGAAAAACCAAAAAGAGAAGTGTGGGAGGTGGGAGACTCCAGAAAAGAATTTGTGCACTACCAAGTTCAGTGATAAATTCACTGGGTCTCAGAATGTTCCAGAATCCCAGGTTTGGTTTTTTTTTTCAGCCCTGGCTGGCCTGAAACTTGCTATTATATAGACCAGGCCAGCCTCAAACTCACAGAAATCTGCCTGCCTCTGCCTCCCAAAATGCTGGGATTATAGGTGTGAGCCACATACCCTGCCAGAATCCCAGGAGTTTTAGGACCCACCTCACAAATGCATTTTTGTTTCACAACTTGTGGCCTATTCTGCTCAGAGCTGCAATTAGAGGTGATCCTTTTGTGAAGGAGGAAAGTGGACCAACTAGCCTTCTGCCAGGGACTTGCCTTGTTGATGAAGGCTTCTGTCCTGTCCTGTCCGGCAGCCTTTCAGTCCCAAATAAACACACAGAGGCTTATAATAATTATAAACGGTTTCGCCTATTGCTCAGGCCTATTATTAACAAGCTCTTACAACTTAAATTAACCCATAATTCTTATCTATGTTTAGTCACGTGGCTTGGTACCTTTTCTCAGCAAGGCATTCTCATCTTGCTTCCTCTGTGTCTGGCTGGCGACTGTATCTCTGCCTTTCCTCTTCCCAGAATTCTCCTAGTCTGGTCGCCCCCCTATACTTCCTGCCTGGCTACTGGCCAATCAGCATTTTATTAAACCAATACAAGTGACAAATCTTTACAGTGAACAAGAGCATCATCCCACACCATTGCCCAAATCATCACAGGGATGGCAGCTAACAACATCCTATATTTTGACCACCGGTGCTGTTGTCCCAAAGTGATTTTAGGATGCTTGCTCCTTGGTAGAGTACTGTGTTCATTTCCAGGTGGCTATACCAAAGTACCACAAATCAGGTGACTTAAATAGCAAAAGTTCATTGCCTCTCAGTTCTGGAGAGCAGAATGCAAGATCTAGGTGTGGAGTGGCTAGGTTCCTTCTCTGAACTTGAGGAGGAATCTTCCCCTGACTTCTCTCCCAGCTGCTGCTGTCGCTGGCAGAATTTGACACCCCTTGGCTTGCAGACTTATCACTCCAATCCCCACCTTCAGCTTCTCATGGTATTTTCCTTGAGAGTTGTGTCCATCTGTAAACAAAATCCCTTTATTCCTTTTCATGAGGATTTCACCATATTATGTCAAGGCCCACCCTAAGGACTTCATTTTAACTTGATCATCTCTTGCAAAGACCCTATTTCCAAATGAGGCCACCTCAATGGAGTTAAGACTTCAAACCCACTTGGTATGGTGGCGCACGCCTTTAATCCTAGCATTTTGGAGGCAGAGGCAGATGGATCTCTGTGAGTTCAAGGCCAGCCTGGTGTACAGAGTGAGTTCCAGACAGCTAGAGCTACACAGTGAGAACCCTGTCTCAAAAAACAAAAACCAAACAAAAAGGACTTCAAGTGCTCTAGAAGTGTGTGGTGTGATTTGATTTCTGTTGCTGTGGTATACTACCCTTCAGGTCTGTGAAGACAGTGTGAGGATCCCTTCTCTCCCTACCGCTTCGTAATGTTTGTAAGGGTTACCCCAATGCTTGCAATTATTTTGAATATGCAAAGCTGAATCCACTTGAAGCCCCTGATGCTCTTCTTTCTCTTTGATCTGTCACCCATCCCTCCCTGTTCCTCTTGCTCCTGAGACTTTCTCCTCAGAGGCCCCATCTCTTCATACTCTTACTACAGCCTTGACTGTGTTAGGTTACAAAGCCTCTCAGACCCAACCCACACTGCCTCAGAGTCTCAGCCACATTCAGATTTCATAGCCATCTGCCCACCCAACTCCTGCAGGCAGGGGGCATGGATCCCAGGCTTGATACATTTGAGGGAACCTTAGAAATGCATTGCTTAGGGCTTAAATGGCACAAGGATCCATGAGCCATGACTTAACTATTAAACAGGCCTGCTAGAGCCAATAGACTGAGTTAGCCAGCTAATCATTTTCTGATACTGTGATGAAATTCTGATTGAAGCCAGGATGTTATACAGAAAGGACTGCTTTACAATTCTAGAGGCCGAATGACCCAGTAGCATCATCTTTGGTGATGGCTCTCTTGGTCACCTCACCTTACAGCAGATGGCATCGTAGTGGTCATGCATAGGGAAAGGAAAGGATGCTGCACGGAGAGGCAGGAAGCTGGAGACTTAGTCTCATTTCCTTCTTGAACTACTAACAGGTCCCCTGAGCATGATATCTGCTCCTGGGAGGGCAGTGTCCCCAGTGACCCAATCTCCTCCCACTAGGCTCCACCTCTGAAAGTTTCCATCACCCTAGACGCTAACAGTCCTACCCTCTTATCAGTGATAACGTGATGACTCTAAATATACTGGAATTCCTACTTTGCAAATGCTCCTAGGACCAGAATATCTGCAAAACTTGAGCCCTTAAGACAAGCTCAGCCCTTTGAAAAGGCAAAAGGTATTCAAAACCACACCCGCAGGAAGATGAGGGTTATCAAGCTGATAGAGAATAGGATAGATAGCTCTTCCAAACACTCTCCATGTCCTGGAAGCCAGCTCTGACTTCTTCCAAAAGAGGAGTTTCTAGTTCACTATGAGCCATAGCAGGATGGTTGGCATTGGGAATTCAGGGTGCCTGTTCTGAAGAACAACATTCATGTAGATGTGGACAGGCCAAATATCTGTGTATAGACCAATCTCTGATATCTGCCCATCAAATGTGATCACTTAAAGTTACCACCTCAGAGAAGAGCTGAGTTGATAGTGTGTGACAAACAAGCCACCAGAACACAATGAAAACATCTAATCAAAATCTCCTATATCTGGCAGCTGGAGATATGCTTCAGCGATTAAGCGCACTGGCTGCTCTTCCAGAGGACCTGGGTTCAATTCCCAGCTCCCACATGGCAGCTCACAACGGTCTGTAATTCCAGTTCTAGGGGATCTAACATCCTTATACAGATACACATGTAGACAAACACCAATGCAAATAAATAAATCATTAAAAAAAAATTCTCCTCTAGCCGGGCGTTGGTGGCGCACACCTTTAATCCCAGCACTCGGGAGGCACTCGGGAGGCAGAGGCAGACAGATTTCTGTGAGTTCGAGGCCAGACTAGTCTCCAGAGCGAGTGCCAGGATAGGCTCCAAAGCTACACAGAGAAACCCTGTCTCGAAAGAAAAAAAAAACTTCTCTAGGCATAGTGATACATACCTATAATCCTAGTGCTCTGGGGGCTAAGGCAGAAGGATCACCATGAGTTCAAAGCCAGCCCATGCTCCATAGTGAGTTCAAGGCTAGTCCAAGCTACAAGCTACAGAGTAAGCGCATATATGTATTTAAACCTGGCAAAGTTTCAGAACACCAGAAAGGCCCTGAGTATGTAACTAAGTTTGGTAGACTGCTTGTCTAGCATGCAAAGTCTTGGATCCCATGCCTAGCACCCCCTAAAACTGGTCATAGTGACACATGCCAGTAATTCCAGCACTTGGGAGATGGAGACAAGAGAATCACCATGAGTCCAAGGCCAGCCTGGGAGACATCCAAAGCTATATTGCATTACAAAACGAGACCCTGCCTCAAAAAAGTAACCCATGACACAAGTCAGTCACAAGCTAGAAAACACAAGAACCCACACCAGTTCAGAAGCAGAACAAACCAGAACTTGGCTTGAGTGGGAGGGAAGAGTACTCCTGTTGGCTGGCACATGGCACAATGCCAGCCCCTCCACCATGGCCTCTCTCTCCCTGCTGCAGAACATTTTGGTAACAGAGCAGTTTGTAAAAGTCCTGGATGGGGTCTGTGCCATTCACCCCCAGCTGGATGTGATATACAAGGGATTTCCGGGTCTCTCCTGCAAGAGTACCGTCTCTCTGTGTATCAGCCCCATGAAACTGATCCAGGTAAGGCCCTCCCCTCCCCCTTGGAGCCTCAGAGAACCCTGGAGGAAGCTGCCACATGGCCCCAAATCACCCACCCAGTGCTGGCTCTGCCTGCGTGTCTGTGTGACCCTTTCTAATAAGGTTCCTGCAATGGTGACCTAGAATATTGTCCTTGGATATTGGGTCACTGGATACTGCTTCTCAGCCCAAAGGGGAGAAGAGCTGAGATCTGGTAGAGGGGGGAGGGGGTAAAGGCACCGGATGGAGTCCGATACCTGAGACCTGCCTTTTACTAATGTGCCACCAAAGGCAAGCCACTGAAGCCTTCAGTGCCTCAGTCTTTTCACCTGTAAAATGGGGACAGACAAGAAGGATGGCAGTGAAGACTGAATTACTTAACAGGTGTGAGGTGGTCAGAGCAATGTCCGGACATAATAAGCGCCCAGGGCTTTCAGCTTCTCTCTGAGACTGGATGCCGGGTGAGCCACCCCACACTTAGCAGAGTCCTTTATTTCTGGACTCATACCGGGCAAGTCCTCTCTTAGTTTGTCTCCAGAAAACCACAAGAAGTAGGTACAATCATGAATTTTTAAAAATCAAGTGACTTGCCGGGCGGTGGTGGCGCATGCCTTTAATCCCAGCACTCCGGAGGCAGAGGCAGGCAGATCTCTATAAGTTCAAGACCAGCCTGGTCTCCAGAGCTAGTTCCAGGACAGCCTCCAAAGCCAGAGAAACCCTGTCTCAAAAAACTAAACAAGCAAAACAAAACAAACCAAGTGATTTGAGGCTGAAAGGTCTGCTCTCAGGTGTGGCTGCCACCTGGGGGTGCTGTGCAAATGCAAGTTTCTGTGGGTATGGATCCCCTCAGGCTGCTTCTGGCTTCTGATTTATCTACTCTGTGCCTCGCTTTCCAAAACTAAATCTAAAAAGGTCTTACATGGAAATTACGTGCAAAGTTCTAGAGGGCAAAAGGCATCAGGTTTGTTTAGGAAGAAAATGAATCCAAAGGGACCAAGGAAGATGGGTTCTACAAGGGAAGTTGGATGCAGAGCGAGGATTCTCACCCTTGTTTTATTTACTTTTTTATTTTTCGAGACTGGGTTTCTCTTGTAGCTTTGTAGACCAGGCTGGCCTCCAACTCACAGAGATCCACCTGCCTCTGCCTCCCGAGTGCTAGGATTAAAGGAGTGTGCCACCATCCGGCCCCACCCCTTGTTTTAAGAGAATATAGAAATGGAGAGTGGCCAGCCAGATGCTGATGTTGCACACATTTAATCCCAGCACTCAGGAGGCAGAGGCTGGTGGATCTCTGAGTTCGAGACCAGCTGATCTAATGAGTGAGTTCCAGCCAGGGCTACACAGAGAAACCCTATCTCAAGAAAAGGAG